GATTTTGGAATAAACTTAAGAATCTTGGATTTCAGGTCAGATGCAGAAGGAGCAAAGCAACACACAAAGATAATGTGTCAGAATAAGGAGAGTGTTGCCCTCCCTTGCAGCTGTTCAGCTGTATTACATTCTCCAAGGAGCCTCCTCAACCTCCCAGTCCCCAAGTGACCACAGATAGCGTGACAGTACCCCAGCAAGACTACAGAGGCAAGGAATATGCAGCTACTGTTCAGACCAACTAACTATTGCAACCAAGTGGAACTGCAGAAAGCTCTCTTTCAATATAAGCAGCAGTAAAAATAATTCCACGAATGTATGTTGTGGGCAATTTTTTTTCAGTGCTCCTTCACCATACACACACAAAAAAAGGTCTGCATCTTTTATTGATGTATATGTTCCTTTTTACAAGGAGCTCCAGTGAAGCCTACAACCAGCACAAAGCAGAACTTTGCAGCCACAGTGCTCTCAAACACATCAGACTCATATTACCTAAAACAAATATTGGTCAAAAAGGAGATAACGTTTAGACATTTGCTTTAAAGTGTAGCATCCTTTCCACCTGCCACTGCAGGCCGCAGAAGATACATTCTAGTTAACATACTACTGACAGGATGACGAGAAAGCTCCTGTCAGACACTGGCCAGCCGGGTGTTTGAGACAAAACGCGCAGCCCCAGCTGACTAGTTAGAGAAAGGCTGGTGAGGTACAATTACAGAGGCATATGACAAGCTTTCATGCTTGAGTGACTTGAGAACCGATGACATGGCTTTAAACAGCAATCCTTCCTACCTCCGGTCACAAAACAGCAATAAGTCAACTGATGCACTGTTGTAAAATCATGATTTATTCCTTTGCTTTGAATACATGAGAGTATGGTATGATGTTCTGGTAGACTACCACAGCAGGTGCACTTGGGGCCTCAACATCTAGGGCCTGCCTCCAGCATGCATAAAATCAATGCTGTAGTTCAGCCTTCCTGCAAAAGCCTTCCCCGGCACTTTAATAATTGATAGTAGATTGAATTAAAAAATTATTTGTACTGAAAGTCTTACAGCTCCATGCAACTAACAAGAATACATGCAGATGTTGTGATGGGTGCTGCGTAAGAATATACAGTGTGACATTTACAAAGGTCTTCCTTTTACCGTTGAAGTGAAACAACGAACAGCCACCTCTGTGAATAAATCAATTCCTTTGTTTCATTCATTCTTTCATTTATACCAAAGTCATATGATTTGTTTCTCTATTATAGTTTACTGTTCAAAAGCAGAAATGGTAATTTTTGCTACAAACAGATCTTACAGAACATAATCCTCAGGCTAGCTGAATCTATCTCACTCTAACATTAAGCCTCAAGCAAGCTGTGAGGTTGGTGATAATCACATTATTAACGTGGTTGGAAAGTCAAGCTAATAAAAGAATCAACAGTTAGGGCAAATAATGACCCAGGAGCTATGACAGAAAGGAGCAGTGGGAAGTTTCCACTTGTATCTTTGTAGTAATTGGTATGGCAAGTAGACCAAGATGTCCACCAAAGGAGTTTTTAAGGGGGTATAAACATAGAAAATCAGTTTAAAGAAAGATGTAAAGAATACATAGTGATTGTAAATATGAAAAGATGCATGCTTGGCTGAAATAAAATATAAGCTGAAAATTGAATCAGAGCACCTCTAGATAAATTGATAAATTGATTATCTTTTGTTTTAATTAAAAACACTGTACAACAGCTGAAAATGGTAAATTATTTCTGTTTCTCCTTCTTCCACTAAAGTAAACCTTTTTAAATGTAGCATTCATTTTCTCCCTGCACTGATATACTTCAATATAATGAAAGCATGAAATTCATAAGACAGAGATGTCAGACTTAAATATGGTTTTCTACTCTTCCCCTCCCTGCCCACCCCACTCCCTCAAGAACAGTGAGGAGAAACTAAGCAAGGCCTTGAATTATGCCTTTTTTCTTTCTTTCTTTTTTTTGTTATCAGTCACTGCCCTGAGATAGTGAACCGAAACAGAGCTGATAACTGGAAGGTGACATCACAGCCCAGTCCTCGTGAACTAACATAAACACTTGGTATTCAGTTAGCCCCAAAGATAAGACACAACTCCCTTAACAGAAACTTGTACTTGAGAGCACCGCTTTTGAAATAATTATCTTTCTAAGTATCAAGCTGTAATTTAGGAATATTAAATTGCATCTCTTGCAACACAGAGTACCAGCCTGCTGTGTTTTGTACCCACAATAGCAAAACAGCATAAAGCTAGCACACATCAATGTTCACATATACTCCATTTGCTTATTTGTATTATATTAAGCATTCCAACATTTTGAAGAAGAAATATCTTGTGACAAAAAAACACATTTAATCCTTCTTGGCTATTTAATTGAATTCTTCACTAAGAAGTGATTAATTTGCTTTTTAAATTATATTGTTCTGTAAAGAGGCAAGCCTAGCACAATTTTTGGTCTGTGTATGAAAGAGTTTAGTACCTTCTCACTGAAGCTCCTTGACAAGCCAGCTCTACTCTTGTTTGACCATACCTCACTGGTGTAAGGGAAAATTTACCAAGTGCTATATGGAAAAATGCTACATGACACAGCAGTAACTTCATTTAACTATACCATACGTAATGTTAGCACACTAAAAACATAACCAGAAGGAAGTGAAATTGATGTGCTCTCTGTATTCAGACTTGGTCTGCTGTCTACTACTCACACTTAGAGCTTGGTGACATCTCTCAGGACATCCAAATGGTATTATGGAAGTCTGTTATCACTACCTACCCTTGTCCAGGAGATTAATATAAATTATTTTTCAGTGATGACTATTACTTCATGAAAAGATTTGGAATAAACAGCTGAATTCTAAACGAAGTGGAAGTTTCTCACAAAGATTGTATTACATCTGTTAATCTGTAATTGTTTCTAAATAGTTTGGAATCTGACCATGGGAATAAGGTAGTCTGCATCAGCACAGTGTAATTCTAATACTGTCTCTCCTCTTGTCATATCATAGCAACAGAGACCAGCTGAGATGTTGAGCCTAACAAAAACAAGTCTTAAGAAGATCCAAATGTAGGCTGAGAATATGATTGCAAATCCTGTGAGGCAGACTGACGCATGCCCACCTGCAGAACCAATCTTCCACAGGCACAGACCTGCCATCGCGATTCCTATTTCCTCACTACCGGAGCAGTAAAAGAGGTTTGACTGGGGCATCATTACAATTGAAGGTTTTTCTACGGGGTATTTTGTCTTTCATTTTTTTAATACCAAGCTGTGTTCCAAACTGGCAAACTGGGAAAAAAAAATTCAATTCCATGCTTTTGCCACATTGCCACACGTTCTCCTAAGGGCTTTTCCTTGAAATTGTCTTTGCCCACTGGATATTATTGTATTGTAAAGCCTAAATTTTCCACTAGACGGTTCCACAGAAAAAAAAGAAAAAGAATATGGAAATTTCATAAGATACAGTAAAATCTTTGGTGCCTAATAAAATACATCATAGCCCAGTAACTTGAAGACTGATTATATTCATTCACGCACTGCTTTTTAGGTTTTATAGTTGATCATTTGGCCTCTGCTTATATGACCCAGGTTTCCTTCATTCTCTAATTATCACAGACTTACTTAGTTCCATATTCTGCAAATCACCGCATGGTGAGGTACTGGCCTTGTGCATCCCCTCACTACAACAGTGATTGCAGATTCAGGGACCTAACATTGTGGTGTTTTGGAAACAATAATAAAATAAAATTAAAATAAAATAAAATAAAATAAAATAAAATAAAATAAAATAAAATAAAATAAAATAAAATAAAATAAAATAAAATAAAATAAAATAAAATTAAATTAAATAACATAAAATAAAATAAAACAAAATAAAACAAAAATAAAAATAGTTATACAACTCAAAAGAATTTAAAGTGGTTTTATCCACTATAAGTAGTCCAAAAATTCTCACACCTTATATACATACACACCACACATATATATTGGAAATTAGCACCTGCTAGTTTTTAAATGTTAGTTTTTAGTACTATATCCATCCTTGTCCCTGTGTGTTGAAAATAACTATTCATCTATTTGGTAGAAGAATGAGCCATGTTCAGGAAAAGAACGTTGACTTTCCACGACAGAAACAGTATTAAACAACATGTTTTATGAGGTACTTTTGAAAAATATAAATTATAGTATTTTTAATGACTGAGCACAACAGGTTAAGGATTGTGTACAAGTATACTCTATGACAGAAGTTGGTTATAAAGTGACAGTCTCATAGTAATGCAAAGTATATTCTTAGGAATATATTCAAAATACAGGGTATTTTAAAGCCACATAAGACTCTGCAAATAGTAAAACAGAATAATGTCTGAATATTTAGATATACTTTCAAAATGAAATGCAACGCTCTTATTAAGCAGTCTAAAGCAGGCATTAAAAAAAAATAACTGTGGACAGTACCCTCAAACCTTTAATAAAAAAAAAAAAAAGCAGCAGCAGCAGCTATTTCAAGTTGTATGCTATTATAAGTCTGAAGAGCTGCTCCAAATCAGAGCTATTACAGTATGCACTCCCAAACCACTCTAACAAAGATGAATCCACCTATTACCAGGTTAGGATAGCAGCTATTATTATGCCCCCTTGATTTCTTTCAAGTAGCTCCAATGGAATAAGCCACAAGTGAATAATAAAGATCTTATAATAGCCCTTAAGAATTCTTTTTAGGTTAGAAGGCACAGAAATGAACTCAGGAGAGTTAAAGAACTCTCATCTCCTGATAAGAAAAATAATTAACCTGACTTAATGTATCTGAGTAGGTCTTATATAAATCAGACTTTTGTACTTCAAGAGCCAGACTAAAACCATATATCAGAAAAGTATGTAGATATTGTCTTATAAGTACACATGGAACATATCTAAAACCACAAAGGTCTGTAGGTCATTTTGTGAAATGTTCAATATATTCTACTTAAAAGGAGATGTGTGAAGTACTTACAGTGCTTAGTTTGCTAGAGGTAATAATGATTCTTCTCTCATGCAACATACTGGCATAAAGTTGCAGCATGTTGTTCACATCCACAGCAACAAAATATTCAGTAAGGTTTCTCTGTTAAAATAAAGAAGATGTTAACAATATAGCAACACTGTTGGCTAAGTGGAACATTCACATAGTTATTTACAGAAATTTTGACCAATTAGTACAATTATTAGGTTTAAATAAAAACATATATATATATATTAAAAATATGACTTTGCATTAAAATTTATATGCTCTAAAAATAATTGACTGAGTGTTAAAACCAATGGAAAACTAACTTTGGTGTAAGTTATTGTTATTTTGCTTATTTGATTATGCTTCTATATTACAATTTATATTATTTCTGAATCTGAAGAAATAAGAAATATATATCAGTAGCCACATGTGCTATTAAGATAACCATTACTTCAACCCAGGAAGAGATCCCCCACCACAGCAATAACTGTTCTATCATAGTTATGAGAATAAAACTGTAATATTTTTGCCTGCTCTCCTGAAGTCAACACATTTTATTCTACTTCAAGTCCAGCAAACCAGCTTGCTGGGAGAGGAAAAAAAAATGGCAACGACAACCCAAAGCCCTGTTAGAAGGTATTGGGTCTACCTCTATGGGGTTTAATGAAAAGTAAAGCCACCAGCACCTCTTATTCACAGTTCAAACACAGAGGTGGTGTCGACACAGGGCAGCACGGGATTACAGCCCCAAAAACCAGAGTGGGCATGACAAGCAGGCTCAAGGCAAGAGGGGAGCGTGAGCACTCCTGTGCCAAGGGGCCGGGAGGCGGCTGTGGCCTGCAGCACCCCCGGCTCGCTGCCCTCCACGGTCAGGATTGCAGCGTGGATCTGAGCTGCTGCTGAGCAGCTGCCCTGCTGGCTCCATACAAGGAGGGACTGAGGCAAAACCTAGCCTTAGTGAAAGGCTGGGTGATGATCAGAACATTGACCTCCTTTCTGGATGCATTTCAATATTAAGTGAAAAAGTTACTGAAAAGAAATGACAGAAGATCCAATGACTGAACCGGTTTCACATAAATTCACAAATGGATTATTAATTCAAAGCCGTGGAGTACGGAGTTATTCTTGGTCCGTGCCGCATAAACTTTTGGAAGAGATGAAAGCGAGAGCTTTAACGCTACAAACACAGCATTTAGAAAGAAACTGTGGTCCTTCAAGTGCTACCTTTAACTGATTGTCAGCGGCTGATGCACCACAATAATTTGAGTCCAACTTATCTAGGACACCTTTTAACATTTTAGTTGATAATGATATGCTGATTCTGTGTTGCAAAAGCTGTGGTAAAAAAGTCTGCAATCTTGTACGGACCAATGTGGCTTTGGGAGACAGTTAGTTAGTTATTTCTGCATTATAGCTGTAAAGTTACTGCTCCTCAAGTTTGTGAAACTTACAACAAAGAACAAGGAAAAGCCATTTTACTACTGATTTACTATAATTACCACATCTCAACTGCCTACTTGTCCTACCCTCTGTTAATATTAATTCATTTTGATCATTCTGGAAGGATGGGACTTCCATAAGCAGAGTACAAAATAAGTATAGGAAGGCAGCTTGATATTTACTTTTCCTTTCTCCCACAGAATCAGCAGAATAAATCCACAGCAACACCACTGTAAGATCCTCGATCAGCCAGAGACTCAAAGTGAAACCTTCCCCCATTTTGTTCAAGACGAACATATAAAACAACTCCTAATCCCCAAAGCTATGCTTTAGTAGAAGCCCAAATAATGAGTTTGAATAAGAGATTTTTTACAAATAGAAGAATTCAGTCTATGGGGTGAAACCAATGAAAATAAACAGCTGCAAATGAATCCCTGCCCTGCCCCAAGAGCCCTTGCAATATGGGTCCTCTCTTCTCAATCCAGCACCTTCCTGTAGTTGTCTGGGTTGCAACAGAGGCCACGCATCTCCACTCAGCCCAAGCCTGAGCTGCACCCTCCTCGCTGCTAGGTGCAGCCTCATGCTCCTCTCGGGTTTGGGTTTTCCCAGCCTGTCCTCACGTGGCTCCTCTGCTGCCCTTCCCTGCCTGTCCCACCTGCACCCCAGGGACGGTGTGGTGCTGTACCACGGTGACCCCATCGCAGCTACCGAACCATTTAGGCTTTTGGGAGGAAGTCACTGTGTCCAAGTGTAAAAATGCAAATCTAGATAACCATATTCAATTCCAGACAATGCAAAACTGGAAAAGCAGAAAGTTGGATAACACCTAATTAAGTAGCTTTTACTTAAACACACTATAGAGGACAGGGTTTGACATTTTGCATTTGGAATCTGCTGCCAGCACCATCGAGGATTTATCAGCCACCGAATGCAAATCTTCATTAAAAAAGTAACAATAATACCTGTGACTGGTGTATGGTTACCACCCAAATGTAAGCAGGTACAGCGTGTTTTCAGAAAGCCTGAAACCATGCCTTCTTACACAAAAAAAAAATAAACTGCATGTCTTGATAGATGAATTTGCTGCTTAGTAATGCACTGTTTAAAGGGCAGGTATTCAAACAACACTAGCTGCACAAGTCGAATATGTTTTGCATATATAATCCTCATAAATGCAAACAAACTGAGTAACTATGAACAAAAGGCAGACATAGTGGTGCTCTAAAATACCCTGTATAATGCTTTAATATTGGTTAACAATGAATGAAACAGTAACCTTACTAGCTAAAGGTTATAATAATATACATTAATCATATTCTGAAAACAGTCCTAGAAAAAAATAAATCTCCTATTGATAAAAGCAGAGTTCAGCCCTACCCACAGAATGAGATTTATACTTCTCCTAAATATTTAAAAAAGAAACTGCATACTTACGCTTTCAGGGATTGTTGGCAATCCAGTTATATCAGGAGTAATGAAATACGAGTGCTAATCAATGGGGAAAAGTAATTAATAATTTATGTACACAGCAAACAAAAAAATATTTCTTTAAAAATCCAGCATTCCAGCATTTAGGATTTCCAACCCCATCATTGTTTAAGCAAATAGCCATTTTTCCAACAGTATTCTTACCACTACTAGACAAAGAATTAAGCAGACCAGAACATGAAATGACAATCTCTGGGTTAGCATAGCAGACAAACCAAGGGAACAAATCACTGTGCTGCAGTTTTGAAATAACACTAAAATTAAAACAGCTTTAAATGTTAAGTCAAGCCTGAGAACAGCATTGATTAGCTTAAGCATTGATTTTAAAGTTGCAAATACAAAAAAAAATGTTAAAAGACAAAATGTAAATTTAGAATGGGTAAGGAAAAATCATTTACATAAAAATTAAATAGAATAGAAATATTATTACTAAATATATGTTCTTATCTCTTTCCAAACATCTTTGAATCAAAAATGTGCTAACAGAAATCCAAGGTCTGACAGCTTGACATTCCACAATCATTTATGAAATACATTAGTAATTTTAGAATCTTAGTTTGAGGCCATTCAGAATGTAAATATAAAATAGATTAAACTGAAAACAGATGTAATTTAAATTATTCTCATTAATCCAGTGCTCTTAGTAGCTATCAAACATGGATTTAGTTCAGTAATTTTAAGACGTTTTTGCATAATTAGTCTAAATCTTGAAGGACAAAAAACCTTAAGTGCATACTAAGCAAATGTGATAATTATTGAATTTTTATCTTCTGTTACTTTTAATTTTTTTTTTTCATTTTTCTTGAACTGTTTTCCTTAAGCTGTGCACTGCTATATGATGATTTTTAACACAAACAGTCCATTTTCAAGTCAAACTTGAAAAACATACACTAAAACATTAAGTAAGATATTGTGTCTTTTGTTCAAGCAAGAAAAAATGTATTTATTAATTCTACCAACTCTGTGTAGGAGGACTCTTATTAAACCAGCTTGATGCATTTAATCTAAAACTTTCTCCACAGAAAAAAAAAAAAAAAGTCTTCTGGCAAGAGTTAAATAAAAAGTAATAGTAAAAAAATAAAAAAACACTCGTTTAAAAAAGGCATCCCATAAACATCATAGCATTTGCACAATTAATATTCCAATATATTGTTTTGCTTCAACAGAGAAAAAACATTTAAGACTTTTTTCTCTAGTCAGGAATAGGAAAATATTCAGATTAATGCAATGGTTACATTCTTAGTAAGTATGGTGAAAACAGAAAATTATTTCCTATACATAATAAGGTCACAGAAAATTTAACAAAAGATTTTCTGAGTAATTAATTTAATAACTTTGAAAAGCAATTACTTATAATTAACAAAGTAGTAATATTTCACTCATTAAACAGAAAAGGAAGTTAGAACTATGAGAAGCAAAGAGGCATTACTGCAGTCATTAAGAGTCATAAAGCAGCAAAAATAACATGGTATGGAGTCCTTGCACATCTTTGTGAACTCCCATAGGAAGTATGACTTTGGAAGAGATACTAAATTAACAGCTGCTGTCCTGTAAAAAGTTTTCTGTAAAAAGGGACATTAGAAAATTCAAGTTTTGTTCATCAGTTTAAGAGTTTGATGTTGGTTGTGGGTTTTTTGATGAAAGGATTATGACACACACATAGCTCTGAAATTAGACTGATTTAAACAGAATAGGTACGTTAATATTAGACTGCTTTTCTAGGCTATAGACAACAGCAAAATTTCCCAAAGGACAGGTATAAATAAGCCTGAAATCAAAAGAGATACCCTATAGCAAGTAATTATTTCTTTAATTGCAATAGGTTTTAGATAGCGCCTTTTAAACTCACCGATACAAGACAAGGCTCTTTTTTCAAAACTTGCTGACTTGCAAAAATCATCTCTTGGTTCTTAGGCAACATGAGAGAAACATTGAACAATTGACTTTTTAGCTTTTCAACAAATAGACCAAAGCTGACTCTACTGCTTTCCAAGTTCAAAATATTGGCTGAAAATATGTTTTATTTTTTATATTTCTCCCCTATTTGAATTCAGACTTGACTTAGCTAGCTTTTCCAACAAAAGAAAAAGCGCTTGTACTGGCCCTCCACGGGTAAAATAAAAGTGAACCAAATGATATTTAAGCTCTGGTTTCATTACAAATCTCAGCTGCAAAGTATTTGTTACTAAGAATGCACAGTGAGAAGAGAACATGGTCCTCAACTGGACCAAGTCATTTTGGTGTCCTCCTTAGCAAGAATTACTGGGAAATACCATGTATCTGGATACCGGTACAATCATGCATAACTTATGCATGATTATATACACGTAATCGTAACTACTAGTCGTGGTCTGCTATTTAAACCCCACTTTGACGTCCAGGAGCCTTACCCTGCATATCTGAGTAAATGGGAAGGAAGAATCTTTTTAATTCTGCGTCATGAAATTTGAATTAGACTCATCCCAGCACAATGAAAGGCAACCTCATGGTGTCATTTCTACAATTATTTTTCAGACCAAAGCTTCTTTTTAAGTCTATTACCACTGACTGTTCCAGTCTACCCTATTTATCCAATATACAAGGAGCCAGATAGGGATGTCAATATAAAAAGTAGACACACAAAGTTAGAGTTGCCAGTGGCCATAAAGATTTCCCTACTCCCTGCAGCACTGAGCATTATGAAAACACAGATGCCTGTAGATCCAAAAAAAACATTCTGTTTCAGGGTAACCTACTCCTTCCTGCTCTTCCCTGTCTGAACCTGCGGTATTTGCTCAACTGTACCTGCAGCCAAGTATTTGGCAAAGGGCCTGCATTTAGATGATCATTGTTCAGCTAAAAAGATTACAAAAGTCTTTAATGGAACAAACTACTGGGAACAAGAGACAGGTGAGAGAAAAAAATAAAAATCAAACGTTACATAATATAGATACAACCAGCAAGCATGAACTCTATTGCAAGCAATTTGTCATCCCAGTGTTGCCAGCTGTATCTACCACAACCTCCAAGGCTCACCACAACATTCATTCTGAGGTAGGCAAGCTCTATGCAAGATGAAACACACACTGACAGCAGTAGGCAGCAACACTTTGCAAGAAATGAAAGAAAAATAATCTTTAAAATTTCTCTACATCCAACCAAACCACAGGAGAATTTTCAAAGCATGTTATAAAATATTTTAGGGTTGCCAAATTAGAATTGGTTATAATACTGCAATTAACGATGGCAAAATAGTATTTGTTATACTGAAGGGCGCTATAGACTAGTATAAAATGATATTTTGTAGTTCTGAAAACAAAAAATTAATTTCTGGTACTTTCTGAAAATTAACCTAAAAACAGTATGACAGCAAAAAAAAAAAAAAAGGCAACAAAAAAATAATCTGTAGCTTTAAAACCAAATATATTGTTTTGGTGAAAGACAACACACAAGACTGGAAGGACTTCTAAATACAAATATTGGATTAGTACTGATCAAGGAAGAAAAATACAGACTCTACAGACTAGAAAAAATGGAATAGCAAGGAAACTTAAATCTGAAAGATTAAAATAAAAGCAGCACTGTTTTAAGCAGAAAGGGTAAGCAACTACTGGCAGTGGAAGCCTCTCCATTTCTATATGCCCTCCTAAGAGGGCCAAACAGCTTTCTAAAGTCTGCTCTTACTTAAGTACAGGGCTCAATTCTAAATTAAATGGATTACAAGTAACAGGAAATGTCAAAATAAATAATCTAATGATCTTTCAGTATGTAAGGGAAGACTTTATAAAAATCACTTCTGTGTCTTGCAACTTGATAGCTCAAATGAGTCGTAGTTATTTGTGCACATTTACTTGTGTGTGCAGTCATTCTGGAAGATGGGAAAGAAGCCAGCTTGCATAGATTTGTGTCCAGTCTTATAAGTCTACCTACTCAGACATGGGAAGCAACAACACAAATTCTGTTTTTTATGATTCACAGCAAGAGAAACCAAAATTATCTACATGAAACAGCTGGAAGCACAAAAAAGTAGTTCCAGCACTGCCAGACCCCGCTGCTATTTACTTTCTCTTCCATAGAGCAAAACTCAATTTTTTGCTTCTTTATGACTGACTTTAAGAGAACTACTTCAGACAGAGACAACTCTGCATAGGACAAATGAAAGGTTAAAAAGGCTGTCCAAGACAGTCAATTATAGGAAGCAATATAAGTTTACTATTTACAAAGGTGGTTTTTTTTGTTTCAACCATAGCTATTACTTTGTAGCAGACAAGAGAAGTAGGAATAATACAGAGAATACTTACCACACTTAGACTGACTAAAGCATTTGCCTTTGGCACAGGATGGCTATACAGTGATTTCAACAAATCGTTTGAGTCATTTTCCTATAGGGAATATTTTTTAAAGGTGATTAATTGTCATATAATACAGAATAATTACCATTTACAGTACACCAAGCTATATATAGATGAGAATATATATATTTATTTAATGAATTTACATTACAACAAAAATACTTCCGTACACCACTAAAGCTTTCTGACTCATCAAAACAATTTCCTCAGCATATAGCACAACAAACTTAACCTGGCATCTTAAATTGGATGTAGTAATAACTGCAGTGCCAGAACTACTGATCAGGAAGCACAGGAGAAAATGATTCCTACCCCAAAATTCTGCCAAATACAACCTTAATAACCATTTTACTGTTAGGGCCAAAGATAAAAGTTCCATTTAAAGATTAAGTACACCGTTCATGAGACCATAAATAGAGAATACATTTAACTAACCCAACTAACACCTAACTTTCCTACCGCATTTTCATTTTACATAAAAAAGTCATCATATAGTGCATTTGCTATAATGCACCATAATTGCTTAATCTACAGTTTATCTATTCTTGAAACGTCATCTTTTCCAATCTACAGCATACAGCCAACTACTGATGCCCCCCTCTCCTCCTCCCGAATTACAATCTATTACTTTAATATAGTTAAGGTAGAAAGGTATGGGTTTAATGTTCTCAGTGAAACAGATGCCAGTATTTCCCTTCCCGTGTAATCCTGGAATATGTCTAATTGCTCATGAATATGCAAACTAAACTATCAGGATTCTTCACCAAATGTTGCAAGCAATTTTGCCTTGCTAGTTGAGATGACAGAATTACGAGAGGTAGTTCTTAGTGAATATGAAGGGTGAAACAGTACATCATATTTTATGCAGTTCTGAAAAAAAGTGTTTGTAACTGATAATCAGATAGTTCTGGAGATCTACAGTTTACAATCAATACATCATACAGTTCTCCAGTGATGTGACACTTTGCTCACACTTCATCCAGGACTTGTTTATGCTAAGACTGACACTTTATAAAGGTAGATTCTCAGCAGCTTTTTAAGATTAATGTGGTATTCAAGTGATAGGAGTGGTTGTACATTCAGATTGTTTGAATTTCAATACAATGAATTTAACGACTTGCTTCTGAATGTTACTAAAAAGATTTAAAGAGTGTAGAATCCCTTTATAGCACTTGAAATAGTGACTATTATTACAAGGAAAATCTTTAACACAAAGAAACAGAATATGCAAAATTACCTGTTCTTTAGCCAAATAATCTGCCAGGGTATTTAAGAGCTTATAGTATACTTCAAACCAGGGCAGGTAACTAAAAGAGGAAGAAAAAAAAAACATTTGAGTAAATTATTAGTGTATTTTTCCAGTGCTTATGAAATACTACTACAATTAATGTGACTTGCACTTTTTTTTTATTTCTACATACAAATAAAATGCATATACAACTTTTCTCCGTGAATTTCAATTTGATGGTGCATCACTGACAGATAGTACTACTAAGCTATATTTCTTTACACTGTATCTATTAAACATGCAGCTATTTTGCAAGTCTCTGGTTTTGCTTTGTTTGTTATAAAGCTGATGTCTGAATACTTCAAATGCATTAAGTACACCACTTCACTTTGCACAATAAACTGTACAACGATTTGAAGTTCCACATAAATGTAGACTACTAGCTCATATTTTTGCTTCTCGTTATTCTAAATGCATAAGAGCTCACTTTAAGCATTGTCAGACAGTTTCAAATCACATTCCCACTACCTTTTAATGTTACAAGTTTCACTAGCTTTGTTTGCAACTTTATTTGCAGTTTTGAGATTCTGCACTCTGTTGTACCTGGCCAGACTGCCCCAACTGCTGCTTCCCTGAAGACTGAAAACCTTTTTACCTGGGCAGAGCCAGTACCCCATACTTGACAAGTTGTGCACTGCTAAAGAATACCACAGATGTCACATCATAGACAAGAAGATTGGTCTCCCGATAAAGTCATTCCTATACATAGAAGCAAATTCTAAAACTGTGAGCCTTCACCAACAGCTCACAGCACACCAACACATGAGTAATTACCAGACTTCACACAAGTCCACAGCCCATATATGCGCAACATTCCCAATCAGTTAAGCAGAATCCAAGATAAATATAACATAACTGAAGAGCATGAGAAACCCAAACATGGTGCCATCATTTCTATTTTTTGTAATCTATTTACAGAATGGTTACCTTTAGCTGAGACATCAACAGAGACAGCATGCTACAGAACCACGTAATAACTACTCAAGCATTTGATCCAGAAGTAATGACTACTTTTTTTTTTTCTTTTTTTTTTTTTTTTTTTTTTAAGAGTTTTATCACAAATACAAAGGACATTACCATGAATAGTATAATACTAGTTGTTCATGATTTGGCAGGGGTGAATTTTTTTTTATTACATTTTATACCTGTATGTAACAATACTACATATTTGGTTGTTGTTCAGCACAGTGTAAATCCATGGACATAATTCCGGTGCATTTTTAGAAGCTTTAATGAATGCTGTTGGTATACCTTGAAATGACAAAAATGTACTTCAGGAAACATTAGGCTAATTGCAACTGAGGAGCCCAGTATGCACAACCTAAACGCTTTCCCCTACAGGAAAGGGAAAGCTGCTAGGGGTTGGTTCAGAAGCCAAGGCTTCTCCTGCCCAGTGAACAGAGTGAAGAATGAAGAGCAGAGTGTTTTTTTTCTAACAGCTCTGTTCTCAGTAAGCAGATGCCCAGGCTTTAGAAATAGACTCCAGTTCTTACAGCAGAGAAAGAGAACAGCAGAAATCTGAATTGGCAACATGGTTATAGTTAAGCACTTTATAGCAGTCTGACTCTGCGATCTTTATAAATGCCTAACTCCTGGTTCTTTAAAAATATATATAATAATCACCATCATCAGAACCATCACAAATTTACTCTTGCAAACGCAAACGAACACAGAGGCAACAACATCTTTAAGCCAGTGCATTAATATCTTTATCACACTTTACCATACACTGTACTGGCTAATTATTGAAAGTTGATCAATCTCTTTAAGCTCACAGACATTTCTAGTACTTGGTATTGTTGACAGGAGTTCAAGTGTGACATTACTGCATCTGCTTTTCAGAATAGTTGTATATAATCATAACATTTACTTCACGTGGCCACTTACTGCTTATGGGCCTGCTACACGCCCCTGTGAAATACTCACTGCAACAGCTCCTAAATCAACTCATCTTGGAGTTATACTCCAGCTCAGACTCCTGTTCTATTACCTTCCAGAATCACATTAACTTTATCTTGGACAGGAAAATAAAACTGCAGAAGTCAGAGCCACCAAACAATTCTATCAGTCTCAAACTGCAGCAGAGGTCAGGACACAGTTCAAGCGTTTTGTCCAAGGTACAAGGTTTAAATTGCAAAATACTTTCATAACACTGGACACAAGTAGTTGACGTTATCTAAAAACTTTCCAGTGTTTTGCCATGACCTCAGCAGTAGCAGTCTATATTACCCAAGCATATTTCTTTCTGCTGTAGAATATTGTAAAATCTTATCTGATCATTCATTTTTCATAATGAGCATTTATGAACAGCATGCTATAAAAATAAATGCTCCTACTTCGATAAAATATTAACCATATTTCTTTCTTATATCTATGATCTCAGCTCCCCTCTTACTTTGAAAAGAAAAATTAAATGCAAGTTTTAGAATATATGCCCAACAAGGTCAAATTCATTATTTGAAATTAATAAACCTGAGCACAAAGCCAGGGAAGATTTTTCTTTCATACGGTTACACCATGCTGACCAGAGTACTCAATACAAGAACTCTTTCCCTTGGCAAAATCAGGTTGATGATGCACTTCCATGTCTCCATGTAACAAAACCACAAAGAAATACATTGTAAAAACAGACTACTTGAACATCCTTTAAAAATGCCAGTTTCCTTTTTGAGCTGAAAGACTGGGAAAAGAATTGCTTTCAGCCTTATAACCACAGATATGAGGTTAATATAATTTCAACAACATGCCATTTAAACCTGAAAAATTAAGACCAATCAAAACAAGTGCTCCATTACATTCTATGGCATGAAACCAAAGACCACCAAAATCTGTCCTGTTTTTTTTCTCCCACGTCTTCAGCTCTTCGCAAGCATAGTTCAACTGCAAAAGTTTATGCCAATGATTTCAATTATATTGTTTATACTGTAAAAAAAATTATGAAGACCTAATGCAAAGCAAATAAGTTCTTCATATTTTTCTTTTAAGTATTTACTAATTGCTATTATTTCAGTACAACAAAGAATTGCTACATTTGTTGTTTGCAAACAATAAAGCGTGTGTTTGTATGTGTGTACACAATGCATCTCTGCTTTTAAAAGTAAACAAACACAGATTGTGTTTGTTCATAATTCAGACAGCTATCAGTCAGGAGGGATTTCAGATTCTCGACGCAAAGACCAAATACAAGCTCGTTTCATTTTGAAACATCTTCATGGCTGTCAAGCAACATTCTTTTCCTGTTATATCACAGGCTGGTTTTGCAAGCACTTGTATTAATAATCCCATTAACTTATTTGGACTACTCTAGTAGATAGATTTATTCATAGATGAGCATTCCCATGATTTAAGCTTTACATCTTTATCCAGTAAAGTATATCGCATTGGATAAAGTGCTGTATACGGGACTTGTGTGCGTGACAGAACAGAAGCATTACGGGTAAAGGAATCTTCTCAGCTTGTTGTGTTGGCAAAACTTGCAAAAATTAGTTAATCTTTATTTAGCACAGTAGAACAAGTCTATGTACGGAAAAGTCAAAATATCCAGTGACATCTGTTAAGTTGAGCAACCATTTTTTTCAAGCACGTCAGTACAGAAATGCACTCTCTGCAAAAATGGCTTTAGAATTGCTGAAGTTAATAGAGGAGACCTGTAATATATTACTGCTAACTCAGAACTGTCACACTAACATGTACCTTAACAGTGGATAAAATCAAAATTAAAGTCTGTTTCTAGTAAGACATTACTGTCGCACGCATTCATAAAATTATTTATGATTGTTCTATTTTATAATGAATTAGCTGTCTTAAAAAATGTCAAAAGGTTATCAGTGAAGCCCCTTTGCAGTCGATAAAACTGAGGAACAACAGGGCTTTAATGTATTTGGAAGTGCAAGCTTCAAATAAAAATAATTTAGTTTCTTAAACTACAAAACCATCATTGGTTTATTGAGTGTTGTTTGTTTTTTTTAATTGCACACATTGTCTTTGCAGACTGCATGTTACAACCAGTACTCTTTTGAGAAACAAACATATAAGACAAACATATATCAACTTCATATTCTTATGAAGTTGCCATAAAAGATTATTCCCACAATAAGATAAAATATCAAGACATAAGCAGTATTGTTTTAAAAGATATGTATTTCCTGGTTTAGAATACAGTGGTCTTTATTTAAGAGTACAGCCACTGCCTGTCATGAGAACACGAGCACAAGATATTTCATGGCTAATTAGAAACATACTTAGCATTTTCTTTTAATCCAAATGAGCCACAAGGCAGGAGCTCAGACTTTTATTCAAAGTCACGCATAACCCTTGTTGCAGTAAGTAGACTTCCACCTCACTTGTGCTTCTACTATAGCTCTGATAAAACTTTTACATTCATGAGTCAAAGGTTAAATAAAGGAAAGGAAATGTTTTCTGTCAAATAGTCAGGTAACCACTAACAGTCCTGAACTATCAGCAGGAATCTAACTTCTAGTAATCAAATAAAACTAAGGAAACTGCCTTTCCGTAGCTAAATGTCTAATGTCTAGGGGCTACTTTTCTGTCTGGAAAATTGACACAAAATGTGTAAAATTGAAACATTCTGCTTCTAAGGGATTTGCCTAAAGGAAGAGTGAGAAACCTTCAAGCGTGGTCTGAACTGAAGAACTACAAAGGCTTACCACATAAACCTGTCTTCCTTATTAGAGCATTTCATTTGGAAACGTAGGTGACAATTTTACAGTCATAAAATTAACGAAACCTAAGACTGAAAATTTTAATGATGCATTTTCCATTTCTCTAGATACATAAGGGCAACCTCAAGATTCCAACAACAGTTTCAAGATTTTAACAAAACAAATTTGAGTCAAATTATCTGAACTTTGTTTTAAAAACATACAAGATAATTCAAAAACAGCTTAACGTAAATTCAGAAAGTATTATTGCTGCTACAAACAGCAGAGATATATAGAAACAATACCCAAAAGATTTAAGTCTCCTCATATTATTCAAAAATGAACATCAATGTTTCTACTGCACCACTTGAAATCTGAGCTGCCAAAATTATTATTTAAATTAGCATATAAAAAGTAAAATTAGAAAAAAAGATACTGTGTAGTATACCGGTATACTACAATATTCCTGCTGTGGTACCTCTTGTTCTTAAGGGGCTACATGAGTTCAATAGTTTGTGGAGATGGAAGAGGTGACACAGCAGGATTCACACCGAGAGTTTCACAAAGCAGCCATGCAGTTTGAGAAAGAAAAACAAACTAACAAAAAGACTTTCAAGGAATCACACACAACTTCTGGAGAACAGTCTGGAGAACGACCCAAAATGTGTTTTCTCATCTTAGTGTGATTTTGCACTTATTTGTACTTTGAATTTGGCAATTGCTGTCAAGTTCTGCATGACCAGTTTAGAAAATACTGTACAACGATTAAATTCTTCAACTAAAAATGCCGGGGATAGCTACATTGGAGCATTTTTATTTAACTGTGTTCTTGCTTACAGAGAACTTGAACAGAACATTCTGATTTGGGAGACAATTCTTTTCACATTAGTCTTATACATGTGTAGATAAAATGTACATATGAAATTTCTCTGTATGCTTTATGAGATGGGTGTGTATTCTGATTTAAATTCTCCAGTTTGAAGTACGTTTCCAAGTTGATTTCCTTAAACTAGTGTTTCAGATAAAGAATGAATTTTAGAGAGAGAAACTACAAGACTTAATCTCACCAGCAGCTTTACATTGGTAGTGTAAAATCTGAGGACAAGCAGCCTTCTCTTCCCTTTACAGTTGAGAATCCCACTAACCAGTTCAAATCCCAGTAAGCAGCCCTGGCACAGGTTAGTATATGACATGGTACCATTCACAAAAGACATTCACAAGAGGGAAGCCTGTTCCCTACTCATCAGTCTGCCACGGTTTTTATGGATTTCTTTCTCATCTCTGTGATTGGCTTGTTCCTGTTCTCTTTTCAGAGATTCTTATTTAGATTTCAGTTACCTACTGCCATTTAGTTAAGTCTTTTATACTTGACTTTCTCTAGTTTGTCTTTGTTAAAGCCCCAGCCACCAGTGTGAAAGTATTCCTCTTCTTAGTGCAGATACACAAATACGTGCATATGGAGATGTGCAGGTGTGCAATAGCTTGACATGGTATTTTTGTATGCCTGCATATGTGGGTTTATATGAAGGTATGATAAAGACAGGAACTCTTTGTTAAACTTTCTTTGATAGTGGTTAGTTTAAGATAAATTAACATTTTCAAGGGAGAGTCAGATGAAATGGTGAAAGAAATCTGCTAGCAAGTCTCCTTTCATTTGGTCATTCCTAACAAATCTTGGATTCAGAGCAGAAATCAGACCAAGTACTAAAATGCATCAAAGGAAAATACTGATACATTCTTTCCATCTGAGCAAAACACTATTTCAAACTGGCAAACAAATTGGAGAGCAAAGAGCTACCAATCTAGAAGTACAATTTCATGAAGTTAGTGCTGTTATGCATTCAGCTATGCATTGTAAATTTGAAATTGTCACAATAAAAGCAATAAAGGCAATGTTTTGATTACAGTTTGGTGAAAAATTATAGCTTGCCACTTTTCATATTCCTAGTTATTCTGCCAAGTAACAGATCATTGGCTAATCTTTAACTGATGTATGTTTCTGTGGAAATGTTAACAGAAATACCCCAGTTTACACCAACTGACAATCTGCATCCTTTGCTTTGCAGCACGACATACAGTATTGAAATGTACATACTTGAGTGTAATTGATTAAAGAATTGTTACTGCAACATTAGAAACTACCCAGACAACATTAGGAGTACAAGTAAAAAAAACGTTTGTTTTTAGCCTGATGAGGGAAGAAAAGGCTAGCTCAGAAAAAACTGCTAAGAGCATACATTTATATTCTCCCTGGGCATTAACAAGACTTAGCAACAAAAGCTAGCACAGTGAAAACAGCTATTATATGCTCCAAAATCCTGACTTAAATCCTTCCACAGTAGTATTAAGGAAGTATTGTCAGGATCACAGAAAACCAATTAATTTTCAAAATAAAATCTTTTCCATTTGCTATTTTTATTATATGGCAGTGAATTTTTACAGTATTTATAGCAAATACTTATTTTTGAATTACCTGCCCCAAAAAAGTCCATTGCACAGGCTCTCAAAATTAGTTTAGAACCTGTTTAAAATCACAGATTTTGGGGGGCTCCTAATGTGCTTCCAAAATTGATGTCCCCATTTTTCCTATGGGCATTACAGACTGGTAGGCTATTAATTGACTGGCAATTTGGCCTTATAATAAAGCACAGTAAAGAAAGGCTTTAGCTAAACAATTTTGTGTGTGTGTGTGTGTGTGTGTTTCCCACTATCAAAGCTATTATCTTCAAGGAGAACAAAGAATAACCAGAAGGAAAAACAAAATATTTTGCTGGTGCAAATTTCTTCTTCTTCAGTGTCTGTTCTGCACCAAAGTGGTGTGCCGCACATTGACTCTGGAGTTTCATATTTGGCTCTGGAGTTTCATATAAGATAAATAGTCTGGCTAAAGATGATGGAAGACACACCCAAGAATCATATTTCCAACGACAGGGATACAGAATAGCACAGTTCATTGTTAAATTGACTGGATACTTGTCAAAGATTACCTTAGAAAGTAAGAATATACAGATAACATTCAAAGCCTGCAAAGCTTTTAAGCAGAAATTGAATCATTTAGCCTCACTCAAAAACACACTCACGTGGGGCTTGAGACTGTTCTTCAGCTGAAATCAATGGTAACACTATTGTACAGAAATGGTATACTGACAGATAAGCATAAAATATTATCAGAAGATTTTCAAAAAATAATTTTTCTTTATGTGTTTCCTATATTCACTTCTATACTCAATGTTTTCTTGTTCCAACTTACCTCAGAATACAGAGGCAGACCTTGCCTCCTGACGTCAAACGGCAAAATCCAAACCTTTGCTTACTTTCAATGTCGGTGAGTACAAAGGTAAAATGCTGTCCTACTTGGTTTTGGGACACCCTGAAAAATTAGACACAGAGTGTAAGAACACCAAATCATGAAAAACACTAACATCACTAGTCTCAAACATTTCCATGTTCAAACCTCATTATCCTTCTTCTCAGAAAACCCTTTTCTCCTTTCCTTCCCTCCAGGTAGCCTCTTCCACCCCACACCTTCCCATGGACACCAGAGCTCAGTTCTCTTGTTCATCCATGCCTCCTGCTGCCATCCCGGCCCCATCCACTGGATCTGGCCACCTCCACCTCGGTGAGCCCCCAACTTGAGGGCTCTCTGTGAGGTTCAAACCCCATATCACAAAAAGAAGGCATGGGAGTTACAAAAAATATAGAGCAGGGTAGATAAAGGATGAGAGGAAGGAGCTGCTGCTAAGGAGAGACTGGAACGTTCCTGCCTGCACTGCAGGAGACAGGACACTGCCCCGGTCTGCCCTGAGCTCAGCAGGCAGACCACTTCCTAAGGTCTTTAGGTCTTCCTAAGGCCTAAGCAGGAGTGGCACAAGCTTGCCGCAGCTTGCTGGCTCTGAGCACACCTCAACAGTGAAAAATGCCAACCAAAACAAAGGGCTGAAGTTCTACAAATACTTTATTTAATTTCATAGCACAGGCTTGACTTAAGACATACATTAGAAAACTAGCTTTTTTTTTTCTTGTGTAGACCTGTAGCTTTCCCATGCACACCTACACTTTTTCCTCCTTTTTTCCATTATGTATTGCCCAACAGAAAACCTTTTTAAGCCTATTTTCAAGTGCAAGCTTTTCTATTCTGCAAATGCAAAAGACTGAAAACAATCAAAAACAAATAGCACAAGAACTAAAATAATAAGCAATAGCATCTTCGAGGCTATACCAAAACACATACCACCTGGGACAGAATAAGTTTACACATTTCCCTGCGTGGTCTTCCATTTCCTCTTATCCCCAAGCGCCCCGCTCAACCAGCACAGGGTAATGTGGTTTGTTCTCAGCATCACCTCTGATTCCTCAAACCCTCCAGTTCCTAGTCCTAACCTCCATTCCTTACCCCCACTTTCTGTTTGACAGCATAGACCTTTTCCCAATTTCCTTCTACAATCAGGGCACCTCCTCTGTGACTCCTGTCTCCTTTTGCTTTTGAGCCAGACATCCTTCTCTCCTGTGCAACCTGTCAGCTTCAGCCAGAGGACAGCAGAGGACAGAGCAGCTCTCAGCTATACCATCCTGTGCCATGGACAACAACTTTAGGCAAGTCCCACCCAGTTCTGAAGCAAGAACTACAATGTATGCCTCAGATGAATACCGGTCAGTAACCATCATTACTAAATTCTAAAACAGGAATGTTTTCAAAGGCTTCTCAACATGGTCAAATTTTGGTGATTTTCACAGAATTTAGTGTAAGCATTTCAGAACACAATTGCATCTTCAGTTTACTCACAGAAATACATATTGCACTTTTCCAACATCTTCCAAAGAAAACAAGTGGTAGAGTCTCGTCATTTTCAACCATGAAAGATAACGTATGGCATAGTTAAAAGCATATAAAAGCAAAGTTGTAATGGGAAGTGCAGGGAGATTTGAAAACGTAAAATGCAGTAATTCTGTCTGTAACCCTATTTTCCTCTGTTATTTTCTCATTCTTAATTTATCTTCTTCAGCAGAATACCTATGTGGCTGCTAGTGAGTGATACGGTTAACATATGTCAGGTATGGTTCATTCTTACATACCAAGCTGAAAATGAATTCCTGCAGAAGCTGAGAACAAATCTCACCACTAAGTGCATCTTTTTTTTTTAATTTAGTCCCCTGCAATTTTTGCAAAAAGCTCCAACAAATAAAATATAAAAATTTTCCCTTCAGAAAGAAGAAAGTAGAAGGAAATTAAAGAAATGAAGAAATTATGTGGGACACGCACACTATACTGCTTAATGATATATGACAACAACTTAAATGTTAGCCAAGCGATGCTACTACCCAGACTGCAGAATCTCCCACTTGTTTCCATTTGGTTTTATCCCTTCAGAACATACAGTGATCAGGCTGAAATAAAAGCCTGTGCTGAATATAAACAGCAGTACAAGTTATCTTTATCCTGGTCCAGTAGAACCACTGGAGATCCATTATAGTAAACGGACATTTTTACATTAGGTAATTACACAAGTCATTACAAGTATTCTCCTTGATTGTCTTCAATAAACTGGAAGACAATCGAGTGCGCTTTTAAGACACAGTAGATGCTTAGTGGCTCTCTCAGTGCTTCATCTTTCAGGCTCTTTTACATACCTTGCATGCTGCGTGTATATTATGTTGGACACATCAGAGAACCATCGATAACAGCATGTTATTACTCCCTTGCCAATGATCCAATTTGCTATTTCACATCTTTGCACCTGTCTCTTTATTCCTGCAAGCACATCTCCATAGAAATCTGCAGCCTGGTGCCTCGCTGGGTGCTTACAATGCCCAGCAGCAGCAGTGCTGGCAGCCAGACAGTGCACAGTGCCCTTGGTGCCTCCTGCCCTCACCCGTGCCCTGCCCGGCTGCGGCCTCGCCTGGGCCTGGGCCTGGCGGTCACCCACTAGCCTGGCATGGGCAGGCCATGGGCCCCTAACTCACGCAGATGATCAATTATTTACAAAAAGCTATTCTTAACAGATGCCCATCTATGCAGGCTTTGGTTTTTCTGTACTGTGTATATGTATGTCAGGCAAATGACTCTTCTCCATTGCTGCTTAAATACAATTCCTTAGCCACAGAAAAACCTCACACCAGTATGTGTCCCTTGCTTAAAGTTATTTGCCTCCTCCCTTGCCAACAGTGGTAGATGACACGGGAGGATATCCAGTATTGCAAGTAAAGCATATATAGAAGTGTTGTTACACAAGACCACTTTAAAAATAAGATTTAAATTTTGATATTCTCTTTCTATTAAAAATAGCTCAGCCAAGTTCTGGCAGTCCAGTGGGAGGCAATCCCAGTGCCATCTCACCACCTCCAACTCAACATCTTCCCTTTGCTTCTGTAGGAGATACAACTCTGTGTTTTGACAGTCAGTGTGAAAACAGCTCAGCTTGAAAACTGCATCCTGCAGACTTAAAAAAAGAGTGTAAGCAACTTGTTCCGGATGTTCAAACTGAGGAAAACTCCAAAGCTGAATCTCCACAGACAACCAAAAGTTTGCATTTGGTTCCATTTGCTTCAAGGAACAGCTAGCAGAACCTAGTGACCATCCATCTGCACCACGTTTTTTGATTAGAGTTTAAAATGCTGAATTAACCCTGGGTTGCTAATTTGAGAGCTCCACATAAGAGCTGGGGGCAGCAAGGATGCCTGTTTCTTTAATCCTCTTCAGCAGAAGAAAAACTGACTATACTTAAGCCTTACAGTAACAACCTAATGATGACCAGAGATCTCTGTAAAACAATAGACAACCAAAACGTATAAACCTAACACATAAAACATTCAAGAAGTGCTACCACTACAGATTTAATGTATCATACATAATGCGGACAAATTTTGGCTATGGGACTTATGTCTCTGAGGTGAAGTTTTGACTTTGGTGGCACATAACAGCTCCTGTAACTGCTACAAACTCACAGCAAAGGTGCTTCTAGCACTTTTCCTTAGCATTAACGTCATGTGTAAAACACAATTGTTACCCAGTGAAATCGCCTATAGAAAGCATTACCTATACTTTCTGACAGAGCACAGGATCGACTGACCCAACTTCAAAATGGCGGCAAGTGCGTTACGTCAGAACACGGGATCTGCTCTCCTGCAGGGAGACAGCAGGCACAAGGTGCCACAAACTGTCACCAAACTCATTCTTCTGCATTGCTTTTTACTTCCTTTCAGTTCCTGCATTGCATGCTTACATTTAATCTTAGTTCAGCAACAATAAATCACCAACCGCAAAGGATGTGTGTAAACACTTATTAACTCTGGAGACTACAATGGGCTCTTTCAAGGTTATTACAGGTCACTATATGAATAAAAATAGTTGTTAAAATTTCCCTAAGTATCTACAGAATGCAGAAAAGGTTCTTTGATATGCAAGGAGCAGATAAACAATCATTTGAAAGATTTTTGTTTATACTATTGCTATTGTGCATGCTGCATTTTAAGGCTGCCTTGAGAGACCTGATTCAGGCAGAAATTAAATCTCTTCTTTCAACGAAAAACAGCATGTCTGACCATTACATTTATCTCCTGTTCTCAATTACAGTTGCTCTTCTTCCAAATTAATCTGTTTAGGAAACAAAGTATGTTTGAAATGAGTTGTTCTTCAAATTTTAGAATTTCTAAAGGGCTTTGAATTTCAGGGAACCAGCATCCCTAGGTTGAGACTTCTTCCATTTATTACTATTCCCAAATCAGAAACTACCGTCTCCACTTTGAAGCCTGCTCTGTGACCCATGACTCCACTACCTGGGTTTCTCCTGTCCTTACACAGACTTCTCGCAACTTAGGACTGGATTTGAAGCGGGGCCAACTAGAACAAGGAGAGCATTGGCATGCTTACGCCATCACCCATCTACACGGATAGAGCTAGAGATCAAGGTACGGGCTCTGCGAAGTTACACACAGGTTTGAGGTTGAGAGGGAAAGTACAGAAGACTGATAGTGGAAATAAGTCAGCATCATCATGAAGAGTTTGCATAAAGGATGCAAGGAACAAGAGAAAAGAAGTATGATTTCTCTAATGTGAAAAAAAAAATAGCTTAACAAACATTACAAGGAAATGAAAAACCTCTTTGTTTTCAAATGGTACCATTCCATATGAATAGAAGCAGAGAAAGGAAGTGTGTAGCAGAAGAAAAAGGAACATATTTGTAAATATCTACAAATGAACTCTTAAAATGGTATACAATTGTGCTATTTATTAAGTCTAAAATAATTTAGTGTCCCCCCCCCAAAAAAAAATACAGTGGTTCTTGGAATAAATGCTTAAGAACTTTTATTACAATTCCTTTCTTAATCCCTTCAACATAAAAGGTAAGCCATACCAGGCAGCAAAAAATTATGTGCTTGCTTTCGATTATATATATATATATATATATATATATATATATAAAATCAAAGTTTAAGTCATGGTCAACAATTACACCATTTATTGTGCCTTCTTTGGCTTGACTTTCAGGTTAAATTTAACAGGAGTACCTACAGATTTTAATCACCATTCACAGTATGCAATTTTGATAATTAGAACAAATAGCGTACAGCTATTTACTACATGCACATAAAAGATAAAGTCAGTATGTCTGATGAGATGAAGTAAGCACTATGACAGAATCAAATCTGGATCTCAGTCTGATCATTGCATCACAGTGAATAAACAAAATCAAATACATTTTCTTTCATTTACTTCTCAATTCATTCATTAATCACAGGTGAGGTGGAGTTGAATACATGATGATGGACTTACCACTGTGCTTTAGCAGGGCTTTAACTTTGCTACTTCCATAATTTAAAGAATAGAGCTTTACTACTTTGAGTTGTATTTATCTATTTAATAAAAAGAACACTCAAGCTGCACAGTAGGAGAAAGCCCAGAAGCAATCTATGGAACAAAGCCATGTTCTTTATTCCAGCTATCTTGATCAGCAGCATCAGTGGAAGTTCCACTTTTGCACTGGTAATTCCTAGCTCTTAGGAGGATCAGAAGGTGCTCTAAGTGGTTTATATATGGATAGTACACACAATACAGTTTGAGAAACTACTTTCCCTGGAGTACAACATGCTCAATCAATGAAACAGAAACTTTGTGTTACACTTCAATCAAAGATTTCTGTACAGAACTTGTCGCTGAAACTGCCTGTAAAACACGTGGGGGGCACTCGGTGTATAGTCTATCATGGTCCTCAATACAAGAAAATAAATAAGTATTCACCAAACAAGGGAAAATCACATTTATGGCTAGAAGAAAAGCTAAGTGTTTGTCACATCTTCAACATCCATCAAAAAGAAAACCACACGAGAAGGAGTTATAGCAATGTTTTTCTCAGTACTTGTCTGTATCAGTCCCATTCCCCCACACACACAACAAAAAAAAAATGGAGAAAACAAGACACCTGAACAGGTTTTTTTTTACAAAAAAAGAAAGTGGCAATATATGTCTATACTATAAAAATGCCTGAACTGAGTAGCATAAACACCACACAGCCGTAAGTTGTCCCACACATAGCTGCCAGTAAACATTCAGCCCGCATTCTTGAATGGGCTTCCAACATTTCTATCCTGTTCCCCACAATAGCTCTGCCCCTCCTCCCTGTCCATGCTCTTTCACTCTCTCGTGACCCCACATTGCCTTTAGTTCTCTCACAAATCCCCTACAACTCAGCTCCCAGCGGCTGACTTGAAAGACAGCAGTGCTCTGCCAGAGCAGCCGGCGGGCCAGACAGAACGAGCCAGGTTTGTGCTCTGTCAGTGTAACTCAGCTTCCAAGACTCTCTCCTTCTTCTGTCCAACTGCCAAGTTTTATGGATTTTGTAGGAATTTCATCTCTGTCAGACCACTGCTCTTCAATCAAATACAAGCCAAATATACGCCAAGAGTCAACAAGTATTGGGGAATGGGACAAAGGGCATCAAAACCATTAACACACAAACAACAAACATCTCTTAATTGTTATTCTCAACCCCTCCCACCACTTTGGATACTTAGTTAAAATAAATTAATATATTCCCACAGTTCTCTGATTAAGCTCAACAGTCTCATACAAGCAACTAAGTGTCTTCTGAATGGCTTAACAGAAACAGTTAACACAAGATAAGTTGTTGAAAATAATTATTTGCTGCCACTGATAATGTTCTTGCCACTGGATGGCAGCAACAGAACCTCACCTTTTTCCGTTATCCTCAAAATTTATTTCCATTATTCATCTTCATTACCAATTTTAAACAGAATTCTGTATATATCTTAAGCATATTAAAGACTTGAATGCTTTAAAACCAATACTGACAATTGTATTAGTTAGGGCATTAAAACAGCTTAAAAGACAGTTAGCTTAACCAGATCAAAAATGAAACAACTTAATTAAATTCAACTATAAAAGACTAAATGAACATAGTTTACTTCTGAAAACTTGTGTTTGTGACAATCTTTATTTTGCCAGTGTGTTTTCCTTCCTTTCTATATCCATACACCATCTTTTACTGCACTAATGGTAGCTTCTTGCAGGGCTCTCATATGCAACTGATGCCAATGTTGTGCTGAAACCAGCTGAACCTACACACTACCTGGGTGTATCTTTTATTAATTATGCAAATTAAGCTTTTAACTCAATCTTTGTTGAGTTGGACAATATGAGTTTCAGAAATTGAGTATGATTGATTAAATTAATTACCATTAATCATTTTGACAAACACAAATATTTTAATTAGTAAAATTGTTTCATATGAACCATTTAAATGACTGGCATCATTACATGGAAGCCACATTATAACTGATCCCAGAAAGGTAAGAGCTAATTAATTATAAATAATGGTCTTGAATCTACTCTGAGAAAAATCAATTGCATATTCAGTTAATTCCAAGCAATTGAAGTCTTAATTTCTTTGAACTCAAACAACATGTTCTCAGTACTGGTCAGTGAGTTTCTATATACCAGTGTACTATAACATTCCTTTTTTTAATGCTTGCTGTTTGAAGGAAACTATGTTATATCCTTATATTAAGGCAGATGGTGTTTACAATTATAATGGACAAAGCTGGGAGCCAGAATATTGCTCTATCCTGATGAACATATCCCTAAAATTCTGCATTTTGCTGTGACAAGTCCCTCCTAAGGATTTAATACACTCTTGAATAACAAAGAACATGTTCTTCTCATCTACAGGTGCAAGCTTATGAAGTATAATGTATTTTCCTGTTCCTTATGCCTTTCCTTGCAACTACGCTAAATATAATTTTGTATAAAACATCTTTCAATAAATAATAACTGTACCACATACCTTTCAATGTCAAAAGGAAAGCAGAACTTTGGAACGCTGTTCAGCACTTCCTGTAAATACAAGTAAAAGGAATAAAGTTAGGATTTTGAAAAGCCTTTTATCTGTATTTGCTAGCATCTGCCCTACAGCTTGCTTTTAAAAAATAACCCAAAATGCTCATATCAAATAATAAACTCAAGGAATATAAGATTGCATAAAATACAGCACACGTTCCTGGACTGAAATAATTGATTATTAAAAAGGAATTAAGTTTGTGCTTCGGCAGATTGCAAAGACAATGCCATAGAAGCCCCAGGAGGGAAAGGCCTGGCCTGAAGGGTATTAACACCCTTCACATCCCCGCTGGGATTCCCTTCAACAAGGCCATATGGATTTTACAAGAAGCACCACACCATATGGGTAAGCCACGTCTGCTGCTACTTGTACCACAGACTAGCCACAGGGACTTCTGACAGATCCTGGCTCAAAAATACAAATGTTGTTTCAATTAAAATGCAGGCAGAGAAAAGGGAATGAAGTTGGCAGCAGAATGAATTACAGAGAGGTATAACAACTCTATACATCCTTCATGGTCAAATGCTGAAAATGATGGAAATCTTCTGCTGGTCCAAAGGAGAAATTTATATGATTAACCCTTTGGTTTTCACAAGCAAGCCTCACTATTCATAAAAAAAAAAAGGGGTGACATCTACCAGAGCTACACATTTATACCATGATATAAAAGGATAATGCTGCTCTTTCTCACAGAATTTTATTTAAGCAGTTGTTTAGTGGCAAATAAAATGTGTTAATTAAAATATAAAAATGCTGTCAAGCTAGTCAATGATTTTCTCTTAAAAAAGAAAAAAAGAAAAAGTGAATTGCCAGATCTGTTAGCAGAAAGTATTAAACAGTGATCTTACAGGAACCCAGAAAAAAATACACAGTTATTTCCTTGCTCCCAACTGGGCAAACAAACCTTCCGTGACACGTCAGCTAAGAAGGGACAATTGATGACATTGCAGTTGGTCAGCAAAGCTACAGTTCTCCTTTTGTACCAGACCAACAAAGAGACAAATACACTGGGGTACACAAGTCATCCTGCGAGGTGTGTGTCTTCAGAAAAATGCACACTGAGTGCAGATTTCCAGGGCTGCTGGTGGGGGCTTAAGAACTGGATCTGAGATGTTTGCACTCTCCTGCCTGAGCACTCTGTTTACTGTGTGCTGCAGTTATCTCCCATTAGGGGAAATTATGTATTTAAATTCCTGCATGCCACAATGACTATTTACTACAAACATTTGCATGGCTCAGTCGAAAGTGTAAAACACGAAGAACCCGTGCAAGTTAATCAGCAAGGGATGCATAGTTTAGGAAAGGAGAAAAAGAAAGCCTCCAAATAAACATGCCCATGTTAGTTGTAATATTTTAAAGATATATCATGTGCCCCACTAGGCTGTAAGAAGTCAATTTTTCTAGAGTTTCTGAGACACATAAGAGAGTTCAAGAAAGTCTTCAGACTTCAGCTTTCTCAGGACAGATAAAGAAGGGCACGAAAGCAAGGCGCTGTGCTTTGGGAAGGAGTATTTATGAACTCAATTGCAGGAAATGGGTTCTAAGAAGCAGGACAAGGAGAGTGCTCCGGCACCACCCGGCTGCTGAGTGCCCACTCTGGCAGCACGAGGAGCAGCGAACAGAGTGCAACATCCGAATTTCTGCAGGCAGGAAACAAGCCTACGTGATGCTGGTAGCGGTAATAATAAACTGGCAGAGGAAAGCAGAACAGACTAATCAAAACTTCTGACTCAGAAATTTCCTAAACACTTCCAGTTTCTTATTTCAGGCTCACAAGGAGTGTTTCTCCCATTCCAAAGAAATAATATGTTCTACTCAGTTTAAACTCTCCCCAAATCCGCACCTGTTGTGACACTCTAGGAAGTCATTTGCTCCTTACTACTGAGGATTTGAATTGCTGCCTGATGAGCTTAGATTTAGAATCGGGTACGGAAATGGATTCATTCAAGTTCCCTGCTGTATCCTCTCAGCATAAATTATCAGGCAGGAAGAACAAAACCAAAACCAAAGGTAGTAGCTCAGCATTTCGACCGAGCAACCCGAAGACGACGTGTGAGTTTTCCGGCCGCAGGACGGCGAGGTGCCCCCGCTCTGCCCGGCCCCCCCGGCAGCACACGTGCACACAACTTCTGCAGAGCAGCCTCCGCTCGCTTCCCAACTGGCAGGAGCATCCCTCGGGGGACAAGTCTTTAAAGCTCCGCACTCTTTAAAATTCAACCAGCCAGCAGGTCTATAGACTGGTGTATAAACAGTATAGACAAAAAAAAAAAAAATCCTCTCTCAGCTTATGTCAGTGACAAAGCAGCTCAGCAGTTGACTGCTTTTCCCCTGACAGTGTAAGCCGGGTTTACACAGATCAATGGATGGAAGTCCTACCTCGCTTCCAGGGCTCCGTTTTCTCCCTTAATTACAGGTGCTATTTAGATTTTTTAAAATGGAAGAAAAACAGACTGTCCCCAAGATGCTTCTAGACAAGTTTAAAATGCGAGTGATTGTTATATACACATCCACATACACAGCCACTAATAGTGTGCAATTAAAGTCAATATTTTCGGTAACCTCTTTATTGAATAAAATTTGAGCTCTGCTTCCTAATGGGTCACCCCTTTCACAGATCCATAGCCTGGCCAGGACTTCCACTTGAGTCAAAGCACACATCCTCAGAAAAAGAATAATGCATTTATTGTCCTTCATATTAAAAGCTTCATAAAAGCATGTGTTTATTCCTGAAAACAAAAGGTTGTACAAGTCTCCAGAAAGCAAACCATCCTTCATTCACATGGCTCATGATTGTTTCCACTTTTGGCTCACACAGAATTAGAGCATTCAGAAAAAAAAAATGGTCACTGTTTCAGAAAGGAAAAGAAATTATGTACAGGACAAAAAAGAGAAAGATGCTGGAAAAAAGGCAAGTTAAAGAATATATATTTGCTTTGAAACTCTGAATAAACACATGCAGTTGCATATACAATTGCATTTAATTGCCAAGTCACAGGATAACCATCTCGTTCCATACACAAACTCCAGTGGAAAATAAAATCACAAAATTATTATCATATGAACTACGGCATGCTGCTTCCCTCTAGCATTTAAGAAAAATATTTCTTCTATAGCATAGCAGTAGAAAATTGCCCTCTCACAGGTTCATGGCCCAGTGGTTTAATTAATTCACTTGCACCAATTGCACTACACAGCTCCAGCCTGGCCTGGTCACGCTCACTGGTTCTGCACAGAGATAATATTATAGATGCTTAAAAAGTAAGAATTATTTAGCGTTCCTTGATCATTTCTATATCCATACAGCTAATTCTTACCAGCTTTGACATATATGATGGAGTCAGCATATTTAAAGCATCTCCACACAGGTATAAGGGTTTTTTCACTTTAACTTATGCCCCTCAACAGGTTACTTTTTTCTTTTAAGGTAGAAAAAGGCTGATGACTTGATGAATCCACAAAAATTAATTGATCACTTGATACTACACAGCATAAGTTTAACCTGATTAATTTCTAAGGTTAGAAGGATGTGGAACTATTCCCTCTAGTAGTTTTTTTTTCTTATAGTGTTCTGCAGTTTACATTTAAGTGAACAGGAAAAAGAACCGCGAGTCCTGTAACCTTCCAACTGTATCTGTGCCATAAGACAGATGCCCAAGTAAGCAGGGTAAATTCGCACCTAGGTCAGCTCTACCTAGGAACCAGCATCTCTTGGGAAATGAACAGCCTCACCCTAAGACACAGTCACACCACATCCATTCCAGAGACTGTGTCAGCACACCCAGGAAGACATGGCCTAAATGGAACAGGTGGTAAGCAAGATAATTTGCATTATTTAACTACATTATCCTGACCAGGTTACCAAAATCATTCATATAACTAGTGGCCAAATGACTATTTATTTATCATTATCTCTTCATTCTGTTTTGAGGCTGAAATCTGCCAAGGAAATATGAACTATAAGACAAATAAATAGTCATCCACCCAGACAGAAAACGTTTTGCAACTTTTCTGCAATATCTTTACTTCTTCAACCTTTTTGTTTCTATTTTTTTTATCTCTTTTTTACTTCTCTACCTAATTTTCGTGAAGACCCTTCTACACCCTAACTGAAAGGGGAAATTCTCTTTTTTGCCAGTTTTATCTTTCTTCTATTCACATTAATAAACATTTTCTTCTTTTCCATCTTGTTGACAAAAGCTACTTGCTATTCTACTTTACTACATGTATTTCATCTAATCATCCTTCAAAACTCTTATTTTCTTCCTCCCAGAACTTCCTCTTCCTACTCACCTCTCTAAATGCCTTCTGTTGAAACACAAGAATGAAGGTCTCTCTTTTGGCTCTCTCACCAGTTTCCCATACTCAAATCTCCACGTCCAGCTCCTAATGTCCTCTTGTCTTCACTCAACCTAACTTACTCTTCTCTGGGACTTTTTTTCACCATTTCGTACCATAGTTTTCAGTTACCTTACTTCAGTTTAAACATGCAAACAAGAGATCTACTTGAGATTTATGATTGTCATGACAAGTATTTCTGACTGAAAGCAGTCACTTAAGTGGGTATATTTAAATGCTTTAAGTTAAGCACAGATTTAGATTGATTCTTAAATCAAAGCCAGACCGCTTAGCATCTTGCAGCGTTGAGCCCTTCATCATTATGGCTCTACTACGGTGAAATTCTAATGCTGCTCCATAAAACAGTCCATGAAAAGGCAAGCTGCTCTGTCCTCACCACTGACTTTTTCTTTTCCTTTCTCTGAAGCTGCACACACCCACAGCAGGGACCCCTGTGAAGCTAGCAGCAGCAGTTATATTTCAAAGACTTAGCTGTTACCTCTGGTAAAAATCTCATCAGAAAATTGTAGCTACGATAAAGAAGGGCCCAAATGGTTTGAATAACCAAAAAAAAAATTAATCTTAGATTACATTCACAGAAATCCAAAGGTCTAAAGTATGGAAGTCATTATCAGGTCTCCATAACTATTTTTAACCTCTA